TGGGACAGATACAACAGAACAGATTGAGACAGATACAACAGAACAGAGTGGGACAGATACAACAGAACAGAGTGGGACAGATACAACAGAACAGAGTGTTATACATAATGTATTTGTGAAAATATTCACACCAGAATAAATTAAATTTCAGAAAGTAATTACAATGAGATTACCTGGAAAAAAGACGTGACAGCTCCAATAATGCGACAACCCCACTGCCATTGGAGTCAGAACCATTTGCAAGACTCTGTTGCAAGACAAATAATTGGCATTTAGCAATGATTTCAAAGAGCAAAGCTTCTTTTGCTGTATCTACTTGAAATTAAAACAAGCTCTTGCATTTCACTCTGCATTTAAAAAAATATTTGATGCCAATAACATTTTTTCCTGTGGAAAATCTTTGTCTTCTCATTATTATTGAGGTGCTCTTTCCATTTCTGGGGTCGAACTCACTGATTGGTTTAATGGGGCAGGGTATTGCAAATCATGTGTACTTACCGGAGCAACACCAAATGTATCATAATGTGCTACGATAGCAATTGTAGGTAGATTCTCATCCACTCCCATACCAGCTAACTTCCCCTGAAAACAGTATAATTAATAGTCAATGTTTGTTAAACTTAGGACAACAGTGAGTGTTATTATTAGAAACATGTACATAGAGGTTAAATACCAGCCAGGAGGGGAAAACTGTGCCAGAGATCTTGAATATACACATGGACCGAGGAGTTTTGACCAGGGCCATCAGAAGCTTTTCATTTTTTGTAGGAAGGACAACTGAAGAGTGCAATTGACCTTTAGTCTATTTCAGTGTTCATGTGTGCTATGGGTCTACCAGTAATAGACCATTTCACAGATCCCACGGCTCAACCTCAGCCTCTTCAGCGTGTAATATATTCTTTAGAAATTGCAACCTGTGAAATTTTTAAGTGTTTCAATTGTTCGTTGATGTGTAAATTCCTTTCATTACTGCGGACTGTAGTCAAATTCTAAAGAATAATTACACGCTGACGAGGCTGAGGTTGAGTAATGGGATCCGTGAAATGGCCTATTGGTACAGCACAACATGTATGACCAGAGATAATTTATTGCATACTTTTATGAATATGGATTTTTCCCAATTTTATTTTCACTTTTCACATTTATTTTAAAAAGTGCATGCAAATACACTAAAAGATGTCATCTTTTTCATGTCGCGCTGTAATAATGAATGGGTAATTATTGAAACACACCTGTATGTTGGTTATAACAGTGTCTTTCTTTTGCTTGGCCTCTGAAGCACTTGCCACCAACTGATATCCACTTGCGGATGTAACCCCAAGAAGAGCTGAAAGAACATGAGACACAGATATTTCAAAGGGTTTATACGGTTAAAAAAAATTCGAGGACGTTTAAAGGTCCAAAATAATGATTTTCAAGGAATACTTTTGGGGGGGGATTTTTGAAGCTTGATAACATGGATTAAAATGATGGAAAATGGCAAATAAGTAACCAGCCTTGCCGTACTTGGAGCAAAGTTGCAATAGAAATAACAAACGAATTGTCAACAAACTAGCTTACAAGTGATCATAATAAACGAGGAACTGTAGCAAACTCAAATAATATTCCAGGAGTATCCAGCAACTTTGCTATTTCAAAGGGCTTTTCAAGTGCACTTAAAAATGGGTTTTGAATTCCAGGGATTTCCAAGGATTTCAAAGAGTAGCACGAACCCTGTATTATTTATCTCACAAATGATTGGCCTAGGAGTCAAAGGTTATCCTTTATCTTATATACATGGATATATGTCACAACCCTTATATTATACTTCCTTTGACATTCCTAATTCAACCTAAGCTGTTAATAATATGTCATTGGTAAATACAGCAGTGGATTTTACAGGCTTGATATTCGTACTATAACGATATATTGAGGTGGCTTTAAAAGATCAAGTTACCTTCAAAGCCTGAGTTGGCCTGATCACTAGTCACAGCAACCTGGATATGCTTGTGCAGATTAACAAGGTAGTCATCTTCATAAGCAAAATACAACGCAACAGGAACCATCTGAGACAGAAGCTCATTCTCTAGCAGCTGCCAATCCTGGGAATATGAACAAGGATCATTTGTAAAGGAGTTCACAACATCCATCGACAATTCACCTTTTCGGAGCTAGCCTGGATTGTGTTACGGTCACCAGAAAGTTGGGACATTGTGCTCGGATTCCCACGCAAATTCACTGACTTTAAAGAGAAAATTTAGGTAGATTTCTTTAGTCAGCTCTCTTAACAGCAATAAGAAAAGCTCAATCAAGCTAGAAAAATGATCATTTACTTGTGTTTAGAGAACTAACTAAACATTAACCAAGTAAATAGTTTATTAAGAGTCAGTACCTTTGCACGGAAATTCAAGAACAATGTCCAAACTTTTTGGCGACCGTAACACAATCTACAACAATTTATACTGGGAATTACATCCTAGGGTATCTAGTTCATGTTAGTACAGGGCCCAGTTATCTCACTTGGTTAAGGAAATTTTGCTTACTTAAATAGTTTACCTCTATTTCCTGTTGTGTCAGATTTGAGAGATGTCTTGGTAGCAGAATAAGTAGAGCACCAGCTCCCTTATCAATCACCTCTTTGAAGTGGTCTATTGTTAGTTCTGATAACTTAATGACCACACATCGTCTGGTAAGCACTTCTGATGACATTGGTCTTGCTTCCATGTTTACTAGCGCACTGCGGGATCCTTGGAATATACAAATATATTATCTCAATATTTTTTGCAAAGACCCAAAGGGAATGTACAGCGTTGACAGTGTGTGGGTGGGTGAGTGAGCTTTGGTACTGTGACTTTCAACTGGTAGAATTAGTATATTAGTTAAAATGGTTTTAAAACTGTTCTAACTTTAGTATGCAAGACTTTTTTAAATTGAAGAGMAAATATAACATGTTAAAATATTGTTCTTCACAACGAGATCCCACATTTAATAGAAAAAGAAAGTGTAAGAAATTTATATAGATACAGATGCTTGCATGACGGGTCACTTGATTGACCTATATCAAGATCTTTTTTACCTTTTTAAAAACAAAGTTATTGATACATAAAACAAAAGTAAAGTTAATCTAAGCATGTGTTTGAGTTCATGTAGCTGGAATAAACTTACCTGTTGAAGTTTGATGAAGATCAAATTGTTGCATCCTAAAGACAGGAAACTCGTGTGCTCCTTGTACACATGTTGGTCCACTCAGAATAACGAATGGTATCACGCATAATACAGTCAAAGATACTGGGAAACTCTTCAGTATCTCGAGGATATCAGGAACGTTTTCTAACATCCTGAAACCAGTTAAACTTCTAGAAATGATCTTTTTCTTTCAAACTATTTAAAGAACAGAACAAGAGACCGAATATTGTAACGAAGAAAGAAAAGAAGAAGCTATCGCTGGCTCATGATGGGTCAGTGGTAATCAGTAGCCTGGCCTTTAGTCATGCACAGGAAACCCACGGCTATGCTTATTTGGAAAGTAAAAAAAAAATCAATAGAAAATGAAATACCAGTGTTCTTGAGGCTGAAATAAGACAAGTTCAACGTCGCGTTTGGTGTCGGATGTGCAAACGACTCAGTCGAAGCTCGTTCATGACTCTTTCAGCAACGATGGCTTTCTATATTGAGACAGGTGGGGTGGGGGGGGGGGGGGTACTCCCCTATATTTGCCATACGGGTACGCCAAACAGGGTAAATAAAACTTACTGACTCTTTGCTCTTCGCTCTTTTACTCCGACGAAGGGCTAGCGTCCGAAACGTCAGTAAGTTTTTTCATCTTTTCAAGGTGTAAAATTTACCTTTTTATCATTATACTGTTTCATTAGAAACACCGACGCAGCTCACACTCTAGGTTTTAGCTAGTTATCTCTTCTCTTATACACGGTACTCTTGCAAAGCAGGTACTCTTTTTATTATGTAATTATATTGTATTATTATTAGTCTTTAGTTATTTAACTTGTAGGTAGCTTAGTATACGTTGTAAATAGAATTAAGTAATTTTTGTATTATACTAATTGTAAATCCTGAAGAGTCTAAAGCAGTCTGTCTATCTATCTATCTCAACGGTCTAAGTAGTAGACCGTTTTCTCAAGGTTGCGTGCACATCCAACTTGACGGGCCATAAAACTGAAAAACGCAAATTCAGTAAAATTGAGGGGACAGTTTTACATTTAAAGAGGAGAGTAATCGTTTTTAAGAATTCTTATAGAAAAAAAATTCATAGCAATGCATGATAATATACTCGTGTTCTGGTATCGTGGCCCGTCAAATTCCTTAAATTTGGATGCGCACGCAACCTTGAGAAAACGATCTATTTTGGACTTTGAACAATCTCGTACCCAGAGCCCTTATTTCTTACTGCGCATGCTCGACGAAATAATTGGGCTCTGGAAAAATCCAAACCGGAAGACCCAGATTCTGGGTTTCTCGCACATGCGCATTATGACAGACTAGGTAAATTCAAAATGGCGGACGATGTTYAACGAGCATGTGAATTTGCGCTTGGAAAATTAGGTTTTGAAGATGGTTTTCAGTTAAATTAACTCCGAAAATATCTATTGGATATCAATACAATTTCCATTACAAAACCGACAACACTTTGAAAAATCCGGCCCTACAGGCTTTTTTAGTGTACTTAATTCGAGACGCCATCTTGTTTATTTTCCCTAGTACTGTAATTTTTACTTTAGGTATCTTCCTTTGTTCTCGAGAACCAATCACAGCACAGGAAATATTGGAGTTTTCCAGAGCCCAATTATTTCGTCGAGCATGCGCAGTAAGAAATAAGGGCTCTGGGTACGAGATTGGACTTTGAATTCTATCCCACTATCCAATAATGCAACACGTCCTGACATAAACGATCCGCACTGCGCTGTAAACAAGATGCCTTACGAAAACTCAAAGCCCGAAGAAGCTGAAATCACGGTAAGAAAACTGCCAAGTTAATCAATAATACAACTGGGGCAGTCTGATATGCTTTTAAATAAAAAGAGGATATTACATAGGCGCGCGGAGATACGACATTTATCTTCGAGTGTTGAAAAGATGTTTTTCGAGTGAGCGCAGCTCTCTATAGCTAAGTTGAACACCGTAAAGGATAGACATAGTATAGTAATAATAAATTATCCCCCGGTGTGTGTAATGATATAGAGAGAATAAGAGAAAAATATCAAATGCCCTTGGCGGGAATCGAACCCACGTCTTCGGTATTCTAGTCCGATGTGTTAACCACTACACTACAAGGACCAACTAAGCAGGTAACGCAGCCGGAATATGAAATGTAGGGTTACTCGTGAGGATCCCAGAGCGATATTTTTTCTGTATAGGTAATTTGAACACCGTAAATATGTACGTAAAGAATAGACATAGTATAGTAGTAATAAATTATGCGTTCGGTGTGTGTAATGAAATAGAGAGAATAAGTTTTAATTGTGATTTATGCAAAAAGTGACTCAAGTGTATCATTACATGGCGGTAATTAATTCGCATTAACGTCTCAAGGCACGAGTAGGAGTTAGTTTTGAGTTCCTACATTTAAGGCTCTTTATTTGAGGCTTTTCCTTTCCCCCCACAAGATCTCCAACACACTGAATAACATCGCCGTGCACTGACTTAGATCAGCCCAGAGTCGGTTGTTTCAGGTTGATCAGGTTTTACATTTCATGCAAACTTATCCATGGATGAATGATCGTAGAGATCAGAAAAAAAGGAGGCTACAAATTGAGGAAGACTGACATCATGAGCCAAATTAAGGCAGTGTTTTGTGACAGCATTAGCTGTTGTGTTTTGCTTTAAGCAGAACTTAATGTATTCTAACCCCACACAAGCCTTGATTTGAACAAACGGTTTAATTTTCGGCTTTAAAAATCATAAATTTAATTTTATATTTAATTCTTAGCCGTCTGCGTCCATTCGGGAAAACACCCATCATCCTAATGCTTCTACTGAAAGAAGGTTGCTATCAATTTTAATTTCTGCTGAAATTTCGAATAGTGTCACAAAATTTTTAAACCTTTTGTTCGATGAATATTGTTCATCTGTCAATATAATATTTATAACCAATATGGCATTGTGATGTTAATGCGTTGGATTATGACTTTGCTTTGTTTGATGATTCAGTGCTAATTGCAATCAAAAAAGGAAACTATGCATGCATGCATACTGAATTTTGACCAATCAAATACATTTTACTACTTTCATACTGTGTATTATAATTTGAAATAAGCATTTTCAACCTGCACTAATTAAATATCTTTAGAAAGATATAACTAGCTAAAAACTAGTGTGAGCTGCGTCGGTGTTTCTAATGAAACAGTAATGATGAAAAGGTAAATTATACACCGTGAAAAGATGAAACAACTTACTGACTTATCTTTATAGAATTAAGTATTATTAGAATTGTTTTACATGACCGTTTACGTGTGGACGGACAGGATTCGTTTATAAAAGTATTATGCGTTTGCGAATGAAAACGTATACGCGTGGAGGGGGTCTTTTAGTTAGTAGGTTGGACAATCCCCAAACACATTTTAATTATAATAAATAAATAAATGAACTTTGTTTCTAGAGGATAACACTTGACAGTAATTCAACTGATAAACTCGTGGTCCTCTGTTAATTAGGGACGGGACCGCCATTAACGTGATCGTCCGAGCCACGTGAAGGTGTAACCATTTGCAGAYGTGATTACAAAGGTATATATATAATATATACTATATTTTTTGACCAATGAGTGTTGGTCCGACCGAGGCTTGAACCACGACCTCCCCGCGCACAACAGACCGACGCTCTTACCAACTGAGCTAGCCGGTGGCGAGTTATATTGTATAGGACGTTTGCATGATGTCGTCATTTGACTCCCACTACCAAGATACTTCGCGAATTTTCTTTCTCATTTAAATTTGTATTCCCTCATGAGAATAGTAAGACGATTGGTACTAATTAACTGAACAAAAGAAAGTGTGCAAGGGAGTCTGGTAGTAGAGGTCAATGACGCCATCGTGCAAATGTCCTATTATATACAACATTTACAATTTCACTTACTCTCATATATATTCAACTATTATTTTTGCATTTATTTTAGATTCTTCACGTTGTTGGCTCACCAGATTCTCTGTTTTATTTCAAACTCTGTATCTACTATGCTAGCTCGTGCAAGGAGTTTGATAAACATGTTAGTTTTCGCTATGCTGTGATCCATCCTGATGGACTGTGGAGTTTCCCTGATAGTCTTGAGGATCTTGGTCCTAATGGAATACTGCCTCTTGATGAAGCGATGGCCAACATCTCCAAGATAAAGCCTGACGTTTTAATGCATCATTTGTTTTGTAAGAGAGGAACTTCCGAATACAGGTAAGACCCGATCAGTTATAAAGACCGTGCAACGTGGCCATGCTTTTCCTTTTCACATCACGTACAATCCGCCGAAATGAATATGAATTTGACTTAAAACACCACAATGAAATGAATTACTGAGCGTTGCTTGACTATAGGTTAACGTACCGACGTAATTATCGATCTTATTTCCACGTCTTCAGAGGTATCCTAGAGAGACTTAATTTCCCCATGATTGGCTCAAGTGCCCAGGTCGCCTCCATCTGTCAGAGCAAATCACAGACAAGAAATGTTCTTCAAAAACATGGTATCAGAGTTCCAGAAGGTCGAATAGTCAGTAAAGATGATGATATTGATATTTTGATGGATATTATTCCACTTCCATGGGTAGTTAAGCCAGACGGTGCTGAAGATTCTGTAGGTGTATCTTTGGTCAGAACAACAGACCAGCTTGATGGAGCTCTGGAAGAAGCTTATAAACATGACAACATTGCAGTTGTGGAAAGGTATGCCGAATGTCAATCGAAATATAAACAAATGATTTAAACATAACGCGCTCAAAAACACAAACGAGTAGCAGACTGGGCTCATGTAAATCGCGCGTGGAGACTAGATAAAGTATTTGGGAAGAGAGGAACTATAGGTAACATAGTCCGTTGGGGAGGGGAGAGGGAGGGGGAAGGAGGGGAGAGGGAGGGGGAAGGAGGGGAGAGGGAGAGGGGAGGGAGGGAAGAGGGAGGGGTGGCGATGGGGAGAGGGGTACTAGGGCTGCTTCAGTGATAGGGATAACCTAACAAGACAGGAATATCTTGAAACATTATACCCTGTTCAAGACACAACACTGTAAATAATTCCTAAAAAACTCTATCTAACAACAAAAAGAAATTCTATACCCTGTGTAATGCCAGGGGAAATGCGATGATGGATGGAAATTTCAGGAGGGGCGACTTTTTGAATATCACTATACTGGAAACTTGTGACAGATCACAAGGATTAGTTATGTCCGTTAATGTTACTAATATTTAACCCTTAACTTGGAATAGGTTTATTGCTGGTCGAGAAGTCAGAGTTGCGGTTTTATCCGATCATGAGTCAAATCTTAAAGTACTTCCACTATTAGAATACGTAAATATAAAAAAAGACGAAATAAGATCTTTTGAAGCCAAGCTTGATGTTGACGAAAAAGGACTGCCAATCGGTAAGTGTTTTGATGAGGGTTATTCGGCTAAACCGTGAAAGAATTTCGTGAAATAAACTTATAATGTCGTTCGCGCGGGATCCCTGTGGTTTTATACTCTTTGGGCTTCTTTTGGCAAATGCTACCCTGCGAGCAGAGATTTTTTTTTCACGGAGGGTCAGAAAAAAAACCTCTGCTCGCAGGGTAGGCAAATGCTAGCGTTCTATATCTGGTGTTTCATCGCGCGCTTTAATGGCGGGAAAAATCACCAAAAAGGAATCTATATTCATTTCAAAATAAGCTAAGCCTAGCAAATATGGATAGACTCTTCCACAGTCTCTCGCTCGTCCGTTCCGTCTCCACGCTTAGAGACTGTAACGGTACAATGACCGAAAGGACTTATGGGTCCCGAAAACTTGGACCCAGCGTGCTTTGGGAACCAAAATACTCGTCCACAGTCTCTCTCGTTTTCGCCGCCATCTGAAAATATTGAAACGAGAGAGACGAGTATTTTGGTTCCCAAAGCACGCTGGGTCCAAGTTTTCGGGACCCATAAGTCCTTTCGGTCATTGTACCGTTACAGTCTCTAAGCGTGGAGACGGAACGGACGAGCGAGAGACTGTGGAAGAGTCTACAAATATGGATAGCCACGCGACGAAACGTTCAATTGGAGGAAGTTTGATCGGTCACTTCTCAATATTGCAGGATTTCACATCGATATCTCATATTACAGATGAACTTAGTAATTCTATTATTTGATCGAACTTAATAGTCTTAATATTACACATGATTATAAAAAGAATGACAATATAAATAATATGAATACACCAATTATATAGTTATGACCACGAATGCCGGGCTAAATCAGAATGAAATAATAATAAAATAAAATAAAATTCTTGATAAAATTAAAAATCTTTACTTTTATGATTCTTACTCTAGGTAAAGCTGCTTGCAGTAAACCTGTGTTTTTAGATGAAGAGAAAGAACCTGATCTTGTTCGAAATCTTTCTGAATGTGCAAAAAGTGCTTTTCGTGCTTTACAGCTGAGAGACTTTGGACTTTTTGACATGAGGGTAGATGACGACGGAATACCCTGGATACTGGAAGCAAATCTGTTCTGTAGTTTTGGACCAAAAAGTGTAATGATGGGTATGGCAAAACACGCTGGAATCTCATGTGACCAGTCCCTGAGCCAAATGGTACAAAACGCTTTAGCAAGAAATCATTCTGTCGCAGTTTAAAAAAAAACATTATATTTGCATACTGGAATGTTTGGTTAAGAAAAAACATAGAAACAAATCCAAATTGGCAAATCGTTGTGTGTTCTTTTTTTGTCTGTTTTTATTTCCACTACAAAGATTAGAAGAACTCTATAATCTTTCCACAGTCCCTCGTGCTCTCTCACGTAACCAGACAGGGTTCCCAATACCCCAATTTTTTTTTAATTATTATTTTTTGGTTTCAACAATTCCCCCTTCTGGATTTACGATTGTTTAGAAAAATCCTCAACAACCAACATGTAACAATGTTCTTTAAACGCAAGCTATGATACTGGTTGAAACGAATGATCTAACGAAGTTTAACGTAATATACCACAACGTCTACTATCGCTATGTCCATTCACAACTTTGACCAGGCTATCTCGTCCCGCGTAAACTGCTTCTATCGGTCCGACATTCTAGTTGTGCCTTGAAGCGTCTACTTGATGAAAAACACGACGTCTCCTACCTTTATTTTCGCCGTAGGTAAGAACCACTTGCGTCTGGAGCCAATGTGTGACAGGTACTCGCGCATCCATCATTGCCAAACCTGAAGTGAGCTCCTGCACCCGTCTTCATCTGGCTCTGACGTAGCTTGCCCRCTGCATCCTCGGGAACCCAGGGGTAAAGTTCTGTCGCTCGTTTCTCGTTTCCCGAAAAATACCCCTGGGCACGAAGGGTCCACGAAGTCTGATAATATGAGAATACATATTTATGTAGTCGAAGATGGATCTAGAACTATCAAAGCCATTGGGACATTTGACACTTATGTGTTCTGGACACCTATGATATAATTGCACGCAACTTCCGGTTTGGGTCTCATATATCGGGCACGAAAATGTACGAATTTTTGTCGCTTTTCACGCTTTTATAAGGAAAAAACCTGCATATGATTCGTGTCTTCTGGTGACGTGACTGGACATTTTTTTGGCAAACCCCGCGTGAAAGAAAGTCAAAACAAAACCAAATTTTTATGGTTTTAGAAGGATTTTGGTCGATTTCTATCGACATTTAGAGATAACTAGCTAAAAACTAGTGTGAGCTGCGTCGGTGTTTCTAATGAAACTAATGATAAAAAGGTAAATTATAATTTACTTTACCGAGAATACTATGGAAAACACAGGTATTCGGACACAGGCAAGGGGAGAGGAGAAAGGGTTTTCGATGGGTAAAATGTTAAGGAGTACGTAAGAGTGTTTATAGAGCATAAGGGTATGGAAGGGAATGTGTTCGTATGAGTATTGTAGATTGGAAGAGACATAGGAGAACGGGAAGGAAAATATTAAAATATGAAGTGTCTATATATTGAATAAAAATTATATTTTGAATTTGTTTATTTTCATTGTTAGTTCCCCAAAACAGAAAAAGAAATGACATAATGTCACGGAAGACCTGATAAACGATTACTACTCAGCAAGTTAGTTCACGTCACCGGTTCATGCCCGAAGGTGCCATGACTTGTTGCATGCATATGCACGTTCAGTTTTACGCTGTTTCAGCATTTGCTGCGACTCTCCGCCTAATCTAAGTAAAGAAGACGGCAAGACGACACCCATGTCTATACAGGATATGAGTACATCCCGGCATAGATAGGAAGACGATTTTTAGTCAGTTTGGGCACACTTTTGTTTGTAAAATGACACGAAAACCAATGAACGGCTTGTTTGAGTGCATTCTTGCCGGAATTTCGCTTCTGGCAGCAACAACGTGTTGGAAAAATTCCATTTCTACAAAAGCCCTTTTAAAAAATATTACTTGTTTTTAGTTGCAAAGAACTTATCACCTATCAAAAATACTCCAGATCTGGATCTCTACAAAGCAGATAACACATATTTACTCAACCTTAAATTTTTTTATTTTTCACGTTCGCGTTTTAGTTTTAAAAGTAATTTTTATGAGCTCCTAAGTCAGTGGCACGTGGTATCATTCCAAAAAAGATAAAGAAGAATGATCAGCTCTTTCTTGGTGTTGCAAGGCACATGACGAAGAAGAAAATAATCCAATAGCCAAGAATAATGAACTTGGAGCTGCCCTTACTGTCCCAGAATATGATAAAGCTAAATACGCCAAGAAGGATCCGAATGAGAAACGTTTTATTGTACGTGTTATTCTAAAGTTATTGCATTTGCAGCTGCATGTTGGGGCCATACACACAGAACATAAAGAACAACAAAATTCAAACCACTTCCTGTGGAACTGAAACAACAATGAAGGAAATAGTAACTGTACCCGAGACTGCCGTGACTTGCTTGACCCAAGGACTGGATTCATTACATCAACACTCTGTATAAACTCAATTGGCATTGGTTATATGATATAGCGTATTAATTTACGTGATATACGTAAGTCTATCTTACAAAGAAGAAATGTTGTGTGTGGGAGTGAATAGCTTGGTTTCCTGATTTGCGCAACTGTTAAGGTATATAACGTCCCACTTGCAAACCATAGGAAGTTGAAAATCCCGTGAGTTGCAAAAGATGGAAAAGCAACATTTCTGTTTTTCGACGTTTGTTCTGTTTCTTGTGCTTTGCTCCATTCCTGTTGATAGGTAAGCATTTGCTTTTACGTTGCCGTTTATAAACTGGCAACAAGCCTAAATATTTTCCTTGTACTCAAATGGTTTGTATACCAGGAAGATTCTAAGAACTGCTACTCTTTGTTTAAAACTACAACTCGTAAATAATCATTACAGGAAACTTAGTGGTGTGAGCGTATGAGGTTTGGGCTCCGAGCTGGAGTTGCACTTACTACGACATTAGAAAACAAAACGGCGTCATGACGTATTTGTGCTGTCAACCAACATAAATCATACTCTTCGCTTATTACAGTCATTATTAGTGTTTTGTAGTGAACGTGAAAAGTGAAAGCTTGTGTTAAAACACATGGTAAAATGCAGGGTAAAATACATGATAAGTAATCAGAGTTTTTGTAGAAAAGCTTTGAAAATTATCCGTACATCTTCTGCGAGAATCAATTTGTTATCTTTTGATTGTCGTCAGTAAACAATTCGATAGTTTTTAAGAAGATTTATTCCCCCAACTGACAATAGATCCCAATGAGCAAGAACCAGACACATAACTCTATGTAATCATATATTAGTGTACTGATTATTACTGAGTTGCTAACTGAGCACAGCGGGCGCGATGTCAGTATTACCTTATGGGCATGGCGTACCATACAGGGTAAGGTCATGGAGCAAATGCATTTCCTTACAGTGATTCGCATCAAAATAATGTTTTGAATTTTATTTTGTATTGTACCTTCTTTCATTTGTCGTTGTTATTATGTTTGTTTGTTTGTTTGTTTGTTTGTTGTTGTTGTTTTTTTTTGTTTTTTTGCCAATTTCTGTAAGCTCCATATCTTCCTCCATCTTTCCATCGATCTATGCAGTAAATTATTGCACCCAGAATGATTGAGCGAATAGCAAGTCATGAATCCTACTCGAAGTTATGTGAAAGGCATGAATCGATGGATGGAAGAATGGATAAATTGACCTAGTAAATATCAATAATAAGTATTAACTAATATTTAAATACAGCAAATACTTGATTACGACAACACGCGTGTATTATGCCGGCACCACACATGATGTAAATGTAAATCTCTACGACACCAAAAACCCCTGGAATATTACCGCATCCCTCAAGATCGCTAAAGGAGACAAGACTATATCGACGGCTAGTAAAGTGTTCGATGACGCGTTACAAGGAACGTTGAAGATAAAGGTATGTGTGTAGTCCAAGTAGTGATTCAGTTAATAATTAGAGACCATTTGCATGAGATGGACGTCATTTTGCTGCAAATACCAGGATGTTAGGGCGATAATTACTGAAGTTGCTATTAAACTAACTAAAAAAGCGCAAGGGACACCAATAGTTTTAGTCATTTTCGCAATGTTTGAGGAGTGTGAAAGAGCTGCACCTCAGTATCTTGCCCACGATTCCTGAAAGCCCCGAAATCAAAGCCCCTACAAAGGGTCTCAAATTTAAGAAAACGGACCTTTTGCTATACTAACCAACTAGTTCCAAGCTGAAAAGGGGGGTCACGGGCACGCTAAGATCCCGCTCTAGATAAGTCCAAAAGATAACATAAACGATTCTTCCCTGATAGTGACATCAGTACCCCTTCCCCCTTCCCAGCCACTAGATTACTTCTGAGTCTTTTCATTTTTCTTCAGAGATGAAGTAAATATTCTCTGTTGTGTTTCTTTAGGTTCCTGAGATCGTTCCCGTACGTTACGACCACTTCGATATTGTAAATCTGGTTGTGGAAGGGTATGAATTGGGAGAGGCTAATCCGCAGCGATTCAAGGAAAAACAAGCTTTGACACTAAAGAAACATAGCGTTTCTATCTTTATTCAAACTGATAAACCAATATACAAACCTGGACAGACTAGTGAGTATTGTCAATCAATCTTTATATTTCTTTCCAACTTGACTTTTCTTGTATTTTTAGTTTTTCTTGTCAATCATTTTATTCCACAGTACGCATGAGGATTGTTTGCTTGTCACCTGATTTGAAACCTTCCAGTGGCCAGGTGAGCATGTATGCACTTCATCATTCTCGTACCAAGATTTTTTTCAGCGAAAAAAACAAACAAAAAACCGATAGAAAGACAAAGTGTCTGAGTATGAGAATGCTGATTCCAAGCATTTTATGTTTCTGGCTGAGTGGCTGAGGTCAGTGTACAGTCTAAATACTCTTTAGGTTTATGATATACCGAATCCCTAAAATATATTACCATGTATTACCACGTTGTTGTAGAATACTTAATGAGGCTTTTTAGCACGTTCGGAGATAAATTGCTCCTTGTTTACCGCTTATTTTTCAACAAAAACAGAACCAAAACATATATGTATTTAGCATACAACTACTAGCATACTATCACGAATCCTGCCATCTGATTGGCTAACGTATTCACTATCTATCCTGTGAATAGTGAGTAGCGAAAAACAAACAAGTGCATGGTCAAGTTTAGTCAAAATCTCTGCTTGTTCTCTAAAAATTCTTTAAAAATCGATTGTAGAAAAGACAAGACTGTACCAAAGAAAGGAATGGAGGTTTTGAACGGTACAGATAAGTAAAAACTGAAGAATTATGACAATTTTAACACGAAAAAGCGGCCGTCAGATTTCACTGATATTTTCATGTGCAAACTTTACGACCGACAAACAACTGACTACTGAGATAATGATGGTATTTTAAAAGAATTCCCTCAAAGAACAGAAAAAATCCAAAAGACAACTTATTCATATGTATTCAAGAAGAAGTTTAAACGGTAAGAACAGACGAAACAATAAAGAAAGTGCAAGTTAACTGACAAGAATCTTATGTTAAGCAATATTGTAAACACGGCACGGCTTTGAATGATCTGACAACAAAGTTTTTGTAAATAAAGTATTTCAGTTTATCACTCATTAATTAAAAAAATGATCCCAAAAACTGATGAAATAAAAAACATTGGAAAGAGAGTTTTGACAGTAATAATAGAGACAAAAAGTTATAAAAATAAAGCAAGTTTAAGGTTTACGTTAAGACTTCGAGTTGAGTTCGCAACTATGAATGAAGACAGTGCCACCGGTTGACCGTCGCTTTGTATAGTAAAGTTTTCAGTGTCATTTTTTGTTTTCAATATCATAATATTAGCTAGTAGTTTTATGCTAAAACCTCGTTCTCGTTTTTGAGTTTTCTATGAGTCAAATAGTCGATTCGGCGCTTCCCGCCTCACCGATTATCTATTGACTCATAGAAAACTCGACCTCGTAGTCTAATTGTTAGTTATGTAGCTAAAGTGTCAAAGTTTTAGAGATCAGGTATTTATATTTTTACCACAATTGTAAATTTTCTCGCGCGCTGATTGGTTAAAAAACGTCGTAAATAAGAGGCCATACCAACAAATGGCGTCATGCAAGATTTCGTGCAGTCTATTTCCTAGAGTTTTGTGAGTTTTGTAGTAAAAAACAAATTTACGATGGTTTAGCGTGGTATGTCCTCTTATTTACCACGATATGACGCCAAACGTTGGTCAAAATTAGTTATGGACCCACTCGGCTGACGCCTCGTGCTCGTGAGTCCATAACATTTTGACCAACTTTTGACGTCATATCGTGGTAAATAAGAGGACATACCACGCTCAACCATCGTAAATTTGTTAAATATACATGTATGTGTGTTAACATAGACCCCTTGCAATAAATCCCTACTTTTAACAAAAAACAATTGAGCATTTTCTAATGTTAAAACATCATAAAAGATTTCAATCCTCAAGAGAACGGATTTACTTTAATTTGAGCCCCAGTTTAAGCTGCTTTGAAGTCACATGCAATGGGTTTATAACTTGTTTTCGTTTATAATTTGCTTTCTTGTTTGCTTTCAGGTTCAACGTGTATCTATAGCGGTGAGTCATGATAATAGTTCTATGTAGATTACCACTTTTTTCCAATTGCCCTTGACCAGCGGGTAGACCAGTGGGTAGACCAGTGGGTAGACCAGCGGGTAGACCAGTGGGTAGACCAGTGGGTAGACTAGTGGGTAGACTAGTGGGTAGACCAGTGGGTAGAC